CAATGATATTTCCTATGTTAATCTTTGATAATCTATTGTGGGTCCACATGACAACCCCTGGTGGTCAATGTATTTAATATACAATACCTAAGAATGCTCCCCTCTAAGTTTAAAATAAATGGGACGGCAGACAGCGGACATATTTTGTATCAGAAAAACTCACTTGAACCAGTGATGCAGAAGAGCTAAAACAGATGTCCATTGTGGCAGTAGGTGCGTGCTGCCTTCACTTCTCAAGGACATTGATCGCCGAGTACAAGAAACCGTTCTACAAAAGAACTTACGACTAAGATCAAATGTGTTTATGCCCCTGGATCGAAAGTTTAAGATCCAGGGGGGTATTATGTTTTTGTCCTGTCTGTCTGTCGTTTGTCAACTTGAACCTAGCCCAGAAGGTGGGGATGTGGCTTTCTTATTTCACTGGTGTATTTCTTGTGACAAGACCCTTCTTTTGGTACCACCAAATATGGCCTCTTGACATTAGAGTTTGGCCTGCTTTAACAAAATAAATACCAAACTTCATCCTAGGCCGTAAGTTTCTTTTAAACAGTTTGTGCTAGCGCTTTCATACTTCACAAGTGTATTCATTGTAACAAGACCTTTCAATGGGTACATGTTAAAATATTTTTGACCTTGATCTTAGAGTTTTACCCACTTTTAAAAAACTTTATCCTTGGTCATAACTTTCGAACAGTTAGTACTAGCCAGGGCTTTCATATTTCAAAGGTTTATTCCTTATGACAAGATCTTCCCTTGGTTACCGACAATTTTGAATTTTTGACCTTGAAGTTTGACTTGCATTTGAGAAACTTCATAACGCCATAAACTGCCATACGGGGACATCAGTGTTTCACAAACACATCTTGTTAAAAAGAATTTTACAAGATATTTTATGTTAACAATGTGAAACAGAATCATTAATTTTACAAAATTCTAAATCAACTAAATAAAATATTTGGTCTTAGTCGTAAGTTCATGTGTAAAACGGGCTCCTGGTCTAAAGTTTCCGCCCTCCACTGACAAGTGTTAACGTTCGGTGTGAAAAGTTTTTGAAAGGATGTTGAACAAATAAACAAATTTAACAAACGGGATCCGTTATATTGGTCTTAATTCAATTATTCATTACCCATTCCTGAAGACACATACATGTTTACACATCTGGATAAATGAGAACGTTTGAAGGAATTTGGTTTGCACCCCTAACTCTGGTATTGTTCATTTTTAAAAGTTAAATACACAAATTTTACTTAGATACAAACATACTGCTCTTTATTTTCAGTGAACTCAACACAGACTCAAGTTGAATCAAGAAGAAAAAGCACAGCTCTTCTTTTTAATTGGACGGTTAACGAGTTTGGAAAGAAAACACAAAAAGTCCATTAATTTGAACTCATCTGCAGTCCTTGATTGGGTCAATATATCTCTTCGGTGAAAACAGCAGCGCTCAATTTTTCACACTGAATAGAAAATATCAAATGGGATGCTAGTATTTGTTTTTTAATATCTCGATATCGTATGCCGTATTTCCTTTTCTGTGCCATTAAATCAATTTTCTACGCTTCTGATTAACCGAAATATTCGCATGCGAGATTTCAAACAAAGATAAGAAAAGCATCTTAGTTCCGACTGTCGCTTGAGTTATAACTTCATCACAACTGCTCAAAAACGTTAATATCAATGACTGCTCGATTCGGCTGCTTCCTGTCTGTCGAACAACTTCTTTCTTCGCATTAAAATCCCTGGAAATTGATTCGACACAACCACCTAACACTTAAAGCTCAATACTCTTGGTGCAAAATCCTCACAATTGTAATTACAAAAAATCTACGATAAACTCTTATCAGCAGGTGCACATGTTTTCCAAAATTAAGCGCCAATCTTTATTATTAGTGATTTTAATCCCCGGGCTTCCGTGCTATCTACAATTAAAATCGTTTTAGCATTTCCTACTGTAGATAAATTTACGGCAATTTTGAGGTAAAAAAAAAAAACTTTCGCTTTACGATAAGAATATAATGGACCCGGGAGATAGCTATCAATTCATATTTAAAATGAATAAAGATAACTACCTTGATATTTATAAAATTTATACGTTTGTACCTGAATTAGTCGCTTCTTTGATTATAATAACTCCTTTAAAATTAACTCAAATATTCCATTAAATCAAATAATGCTCTCTTGTGATGATTGCCTCGTTTATTTGGTTGTTTCTTTAAATTTTTTTTTTTGATTAAGTCCCTCGCGAAAAATTGTTCACTTATTTGGAAATGCCACAACTTACCGGTGGAGGACTGCCATTTTACACCTGCAGTTTACTCGACACTCATTATTTAGCATTTATAGGACTTTTTCCGTGTCCATGCTTTCTGCGAAACAAGTTAACGGTTAAACGGTCTCCTCCAAACGACCGGTGGCCACGTTCCGCAGTGGGCTTCGAACCTGCGACTCTAAACCATACTTTATAACCACTGCTCATTAATTCGTTTGGTCTTAAGTAGATCGAGTAAATTAGTGTAATTGATTTAATGTTTTATTTGAGAGCAACGGCACAGCTATTATTAAAGTATCTTAACATGTAAGGCATTTAGGTAAAAAAAATGGAAATGTCGATCTTGTTGATATCGACGCTTCGTCATTATGCAAATCAGATACACAAGTTTGAATTTTCGCTAAATGTTCTATTTAAGCAATTATATCTAAACAAGTTGTTTGTTAAAATCACAATAAATATTAGCGCTAGTAAATTCTGATAAAGACCAGAAGAGATTATACATCAGATAGAGACCAGAAGATTATACATCACTAAGATATCCCTCTATGGAATTCTTTCAAAAAAACTACTCCAACAAACCATTCTAAAATCAACCGTTCTGTGTATTGGTTTCTGATTTCTAGTTTCACCATAATTACTTAAAATAAGGAAAAAACTTAAAAATTCTGTAGAAACATTACTCCACCTACATGCAATTTTAATCCGGTTCCATACGATTAGAAATGCATGAAGCTTATGACAGGATGTAAAAGCAGAATTAAGTCTCGTTAGAGGTTTCTAGTTTCCAACTTCTGATATTTAATACCAGGACACTTTTAGCATATCTTGTACTTTTATTAAAATAAATATAACCAATGTACTTACTTTAACTGCATTTCTAAACGGGTTTTCGCAAATTTCTGATCAAGCTGGTTATCCTATCAACTATTAACTTCACCGTATAGTAAGTTGAACTTAACATGATTTGAGATTTTCACTTATCAGAATTCGAAGTTGATCTGCAGCTAGCATATCTCTTACATACAGCAATGTATCAATGTTGTATTTACACAGACGAATACGTTTATAGATGGCATCTAGAATTAGATCTCCTCATCTTAAAATAGTCTGAGACTGATAAAGTAAGCAAACTGCCTAATGGGAGATATGACAGGGTCTAAATAACAATTTTATTATATTACAGAAAAAGAGTAAGAAGAAAATGTAAATGTAACGGATTATTTGATTGGTGTTGCCACTGTGAAAAAAAACATTAAAAATAATTATAATCTACAACAGGGGTTCAAAATTCCTCAAGCCCGACGTCCCGGACTAACAAATTCCGGATCCGGACTCGGCATTTAGAATTCACCAAAGTCCTTGGACTTGGCTGTTTCTTGTCTATCTTTTCTTATAAGTTAAAAAAATGATCGTAAAGTTAAAAATAAAGCAAATTCTTAAATGTATTACGTAAAAATGTGGGTTTGTGGGCGTTAAAATACCCATAAAACATTACGAACGTTTTGAAAATACAATCCGTCTTTTTATTTTCCGTTGCGGTTAGACTCTTGCTTTTACGCATTTTCTCATGTTTCCTCCTATATGACAAACGGCAATAAGTTTGTTAAATTTCGGTTTTAGCTGTGACTTACAACACATTCTAATTTCTATTTATTGTAACAGATGGTTTATTCAGTAGTGAGTATTTGTAAAAGTTATTTCAATGTACCAATAATCTATCAGTCTGGTACTTTTGAAATACTCATGTATGACTATATGACAGTTTATGGAGGAAAAATAAAACATATATTAATACATATAGTCTTTATTCATTCAATGCAACAAATGAAAATAAATTATAAGTAACATAAATTTAATGATGTATAGGTTAATATGGACTTTCAAATTTCTTCCTCGGACTTGCCTAAAATTTACTCTTTAAGTCCTGGACTTGACCATGACAAAAAAAATTTTGAACCCCTGAATTTTTTGTTTGCCTTGCCCTTGCACTTTTTGGTTAAATTTGACATCTTATTTCTTGACCTAAAATCGGAGCCCACGTGACTTCAGGGGGTCACATGATGTCAAAAAATACCGATGTGAAAAGCGATGGACATACTCTTCAAGATAAGAAATAGCTATTTTAACTAGAGTGTCTTTCTCAAAAATAAAACTGTGAAACATTATATGTATCGGATTCCATGACTTTTTATAGAAAATGTTGCCTTAACTGTACTGCGAATCCTTATACAGCCTGACGCCGTGACGTCAGGCAATGAAGGTCCAAGTACAGTTATTGAGGCCTGGGTGATTGTGGCCATTTTTAGACTAAACTAACCTCATTTGAAAGAAGAGCTCCCTTTAAAGATACACAAAATGAACAAATTTTGAAACTACCGGGTAAAATGTATGAATGTTTTCTTTGCCAAATGATAGTTGGCAGCTTAAGATATATCAAAAAAAAAATTTAGTTATATCTAATGGTTACTCTGTTGAATCCCAGCCTCCTTAAAATATCCACTTTAATTTTCATAAAAGTAATGGTTCATTGGTCAGTTGTATTCCACAGATGTTACTTTTTCTGTATTTTGATTTCACGGTCTGATTTGCCTAGAGGCAGTCATGATTTATAGAGTCAATAAACAAACTAAAGACTTCATCTGTCAAAACATCAATCAATGAACAGTCAGCCCAAGGCTTCCTCTTGCTTCAATATTAAAAAAAAATATTACTAAATTCAGGACAAAACTTTAAAGACGTCCTTGAAATTTAATTTCTAACAATACATCTGTACAACAAAAATCTCTGAACATTTCAGACAGTTTCCCATGTTCATCAAAATAATAATTGAATCAATTATGATTCATTAACACACATTAACACACATCTTATTGCAGAGTTTTGATAAAATCAGACAAATACACAAGTGAACATCACTTTATAAAATAGACATTTGTTTGAACAGTGGACTCCCTTGACTCTAGGCATGACATCTTGTGATCTTGATACCTATCATCCATTTCCACCTCACTATTATATGAATATACACTGAATAATAAACATTTGTTCTCAGGTATGTGCTTAACTACAGAGAATTATCAGTTACAGGTAACACCAGCAGCCATCTGTGAACTTGTTTGTCTTATATTGGACCTGTATTAATGACTGTCAGGTATGGTAGATCTGTAGTACACAAAGAATTAGAGTCTTCATGTACCTGTCCCAAACCACTAACATATGAGGCTGGTGTCTGTAATAAAAAAAAACAGATTATCTATTAAAAAATCAACCCAATAATTCTCCTCCCAGGAAAAAAAAACAATGAACAAATAATTGCCCAAGTTCCAAGTTTCAGTAGTTTGCCTATAAGGGGCTCATATTATGGAAATCTCAGTTACAGGGAAGTTTAATTTTTATCCAGTCCCCTATCAGGACATTTTTAAAACAATAAAATCTGTATAGTTTTTATGAACTATCAACAGTTTTTTCCTAAAATTAAATAGAATATTAACCTGAAGACGTCCATTTTGACAATAGTGTCCTTGTAGGCATTGAGGAATGTGTTCATGTCTGGAGCAGTGAGACCCCCAGCTAGGCAGGGCTCTGTCACCTGTAAACAGGGGACATGAATTGAAATTGTTTCATTTCAATGAATATTAATATGTCAAGTCAATCATGCTTGATTATTTGTTATGATCTTTTAATAGCAAGGGTATCAATTTCAACCATAAGAAACAAAAGAACAAAAAAAGAAACATCAGACACTTTTTATATTTTCTGATAGATAATTGATCTGTTTATAATTCACTTATTTTTTTTCCCCACCAGATGAACACACTGTGCTATGTTCTTTATAACTGGCTTACCTTCTCTACCAAGTCTAGAAAAATGTCTCTCACATCCTTACTGTGATTCAAGCCACAAGCGATGTTTATGATTGCTTTTGTCCAGTTCTTTAATGAAAAAAAAAATCATTTCAATATCCAAGCCCTAAAATAATAATCTAATGTGTGCATATTACCTGAGACATATGAGCCCTAGATGTTACCTCAGTAACATGGGTACCTTGATAACACTCTCTCGGACATGAACCTACTTTAAAACATACATTTGTCATATGTTTTTTTTAAAATAAAATAAAGAATTTTCATAAACAGCAATTTATTGGAAAGTACATGTAATGAAAAAGTTCATTTGACTGATGCAAGTGACCTATAAATTTAAAATTAGTTCCTAAACATGTTTTATAAATACCGCATAAATCAAGGAACGAGAGACAATTCATCTGCATAAATTAATAGACAACTACAATTAGTTTCTATAATTAGAGAAATGTAACAACCAATTGCAATTGCTGAAAAATGAGATATCATTCATAAAAGTGACAAAGAGCACAAAAAGATGAAGGAAGATTACCTTAAAGGATTCCTCCACAATCTGTCTCGATTTCTTAGCCATGCTCTGCTGCTTAAGATGACTGAGTACTTGCCTAAATATTTAAAAGAATAATTTAAAAAGTCTTAATATAATACACAATAATAGTGTATAGTGTAGTGGACACAATGAAGAAATGTCCATTTTCCTTAACAATTCTAAATTGAGATTAAACTTATTATTATTTTCTAAATCAAGCACATTGTAAATTATAATGAAAAATGGTAGACAATTTCAAAATATCCAAATCTGCTCAGACAAAATCTTGAGAGTAATATTACTGAGAAAATTGTTGACCTCCTATATATGTTTTTACCACTGAAAAACATTGGTTGCCCTACAATGTTTACAGGTTGCCTTATTGTAATAAGTTTACAGGTTGCTTTACAGTGTCAAGCAATAGATTACCTTACCATGTTAAAAGGTTGCTTTACAATGTAAATAGGTTGTTTTACAGTGTTTACAGGTTGCATTTCATTGTTAACAGTGTTAATCAGCTACTTTACAGTGTTAACAAGTTGCTTTACAACATAAAAAGGCTGTTTACAGTGTTTACAGGTTGCTTTAAAGTCTTAATATGTTGCTTGACAGTCTAAATATGTTGCTTTACAGTGTAAATCTTATCATATTCAAAACTACTTTGTGTGTTTACTTCTATATATCCAAGTGTATGGTTTGATAAAAACAGATTGACATTTGGGCGAAAGGTTTCTATTGATTGAGAAAAAATGTCAGCTATGTTTTGTATCAAGAAATAAAGCAGTATTCTATTTGTAAGTCACACTTCTAAGGCCTGAAAAACATGTATTACAGATGTACTCACAGTAAGACTAGAACTTATGTTCCATGACTTATAAGGCAAAACTTACTGTGTGTACTGGCTCTTACAGTGTACCAGGTTACCTTAGTGTTACCAGTTGCTTTACAATGTTACCAGGGTGCCTTATAATGTTACAGGTTGCTTTACAATGTTACCAGGGTGCCTTATAATGTTACAGGTTGCTTTACAATGTTACCAGGCTGCTTTATAATGTTACAGGTTGCTTTACAATGTTACCAGGCTGCTTTATAATGTTACAGGTTGCTTTACAATGTTACCAGGCTGCTTTATAATGTTACAGGTTGCTTCACAATGTTACCAGGGTGCTTTATAATGTTACAGATTGCTTTACAATGTAAACTGTTCACCACTATATTCAAGATATTCCCAAAAATCTAAGTTGTAAAGTGCCGAAATTCCCAGAAAAATAAAGGAATCGGAATTTCCTGGTAATATGCACATCTACACTTTGTGTCCTAAATATCTGCAAAGTTTGACGAAAATCTGTGCTGTGGTTTATGAGGAGTTGTGCTGACAATCTGTTCATCTCTATATTCAAGGTATGGCCAAACGCCTAAGTTAAAAAATGCGGAAATTCCCGGGAAAAATAATGGAATCGGAATTTCCTGGTAATATGCACATCTACACATAGTGTCCAAAATACCTGCAAAGTTTGATGAAAATCTGTGCTGTGGTTTATGAGGAGTTGCGCTGACAATCTGTTCATCTCTATATTCAAGGTATGGCCAAACGCCTAAGTTAAAAAACGCGGAAATTCCCGGGAAAAATAATGGAATCGGAATTTCCTGGTAATATGCACATCTACACATTGTGTCCAAAATACCTGCAAAGTCTGATGAAATTCTGTGCAGCGTTTTATGAGGAGTTGCGCTGACAAACGTTCATCTCTATATTCAAGGTATGGCCAAATGCCTAAGTTAAAAAGTGCGGAAATTCCCGGAAAAAATAATGGAATCGGAATTTCCTGGTAATATGCACATCTACACATTGTGTCCTAAATACCTGCAAAGTTTGACGAAATTCTGTGCAGCGGTTTATGAGGAGTTGCGCTGACAAAAAAAGGACAGACTGACTGACGGACGGGTCAAAAACATTATACCTCACGCAACTAGTTGCGTGGGGTATAATAAGATATGGAAACATAAAAAGCTTTACAGTAGACAGAATATTTTTTCAGGAAATATTTTTTTGTAACATGTGAAAGGTTTAAATATATATGAATTATGTTTGTGTAGTTTTAAACTGTTTCGGCTGATCAGTTATTTTAAAGAACATT